CTACAATGAGATTATCACTTAACTGACAACCAGAATGGCTTTGATTAAAAAAAGAAGTACTGGCAAGGTTTAGAGAAAAGGGAACACTTCTGTGGTACTAGTAGGGATATAAAATAGTACAGCCACCACAGAAAACAGTATAGAGGTTCATCAAAAATCTATAAATAAAACTACCATATGACCAGCAGTTCCTCTATTGGGTATATAGCCAAAGGACAGTCAATCACTTAGTTGGAGAGATATTTCCATGTCTGTGTTTATTGCAGCATTATTGACGAGAGCTAAGTCATGAAATCAAGTTAAGTGCCCAAGAATCTATGACCGGATCAGGAAAATATGTATTTATACACAGTGGAATACTACTCAGCCATAAAGAACAACAGAATCCTGTCATTAGACACAACGTGGAAGAATCTGGACTGTAATCCTAAGTAAAATAGCTAGACTATGAAGACAAATACTATGTTCTTACCTAACATACCAAATGCCCTAACTGTACCGCAGAAACTGAAGGATTTGAAAGCATAAAAATAGATTACAATAAATACCAGAAGCTATGTGGTTGGGGATGAGAGAAAATTTTTAATGGATACAAGGATGTATTTAAATAAGAAGAGGTTATGGGAAGATGTAGCAAAGCAAAGTAAAAAAAAAAAAAAGTCAATTTAATATTTCAACACACAGAGTAGTAGAAATATTGTCAAATGGGCACAGCATAGGGCTGTGTAGCCAGATCCCAGATGGCTGATCATGTTCTGAATCCTGACTTCACTGGTTTGTAAAACGTATCAGGCAGGTGTGTATTTATGCCCCAAATCTAAAGTATTATTACATGCAGTGTAGTAATACTTTAGAAGGTGCTTTCTCAGGGACCAGCAGATGGCATAATAATTATGTCACTGGACTCCCACATGGTCAACCATGGTTCGAGTCCTGAACTGGTGGCTTAAAACTCATACTGGGCACGTGTGTATGCATGCTCAAAATCCCAAAAGAAATACAGAGAAGTCATTGTAGTGTGACAGTCCCCCCTGGGGGGGGGGTGAGTTCTCACTTTCTGTCTCTCTGCCTGTCTCTTTCTCCAGCAAGCACATACACCCTATAGCAAAATATTCTCAAAAAACCCCAAAACTTGGGGGACCAGCAGTTAGCATAATGGCTATGTCGCTGGATTCCCACATAGTCTACCGCGGTTTGAGTCCCAGACATGCACGCACCCTATAGCAAAAACATCTTAAAAACAAAACAAAACAAAACAAAAAAAAAACCCAAAACTTAAATTTAAAAAAATAGAAAAAAAAAGGTTTCTCCTTCTCCTTCTGTCTGTCTCTCTCTGGTGAGCACATGTGCCCTCTGGCAATTAAAAAATATGTAAAATGTGATCAAAAGTTCATTGTTGAAGAAGGTGAGTATGTGAATATCCTGGATTTGATACTTTGCATTTCTTTAAAAATTTATTTATTATTTTAAAATTTCTATGTGGCACATGAGAGTAAAAGAGAAAGTGAGAAAGCAAGCTGCCAGGTCTGGTCTGGGACTTGAACTGCAGTTGGGAGTCCAGCACCTCAACTATTATGCCACCTCCTGACCCCTATACTTTGCATCTTTTAAAGAATATACTATACCCGGGACCAGCAGTTAGCATAATGGCTGTGTCGCTGGACTCCCACGTAGTCGACTGCAGTTCGCGTCCCGAACCTGGTGGCTTAAGCTCACGCCAGGCACATGTGCGTGAGTGCCCAGGATCCTGAGAGGAGAATGGAGGAGAAGGGATTGCGGCATGGCCATCCCCCCTTGGTGATTTCTCGCTTTCTGTCTCTCTGTCTTTCCCTGTCTGTCTGGCGAGCGCACGCGCCCTATAGCAAAAACCTCTCCAAAAAAAAAAAAAAAAACAATATAATATACCCCACAAAGATACATATCATATCTATATCTATATCTATCTATCTATCTATCTATCTATCTATCTATCTATCTATCTATATAAAAGTATATATGTAAGTATATTAATCCATGTACTTCATGCCCATGTTCTACAGCTGGCTACAGTTGGACTGCAGCATGAAGACACTTTTGGAGATATTCTATCTCAATGTCTCTCTTGCTTATGGAAAAAAATAAATAAGCTTTAAAAGATGCTGGGAAAATTGGAAAAAACTAGACCCTTGTCTTGTACCTTATTTTTTTGAAAAATCAAATCAAAGTGGATGAAAGACTTAAACACAAGGCTTGAAATCATGAAAGTACTATAGGAAAACAAGAGAAATGCTTCATGACATTGGTCTGGGTAAAGTTTTTTTGGATAATATCTCAAAAACAGAAAACAAAAAGCAAAAATAAACCAATGGAATTATATCAAACTATACATTTGACAAAGGATTTATAACTAGAATATATAAGAAAACTCTTTAGAACATTGGTTGGGGCAAAGAATTAAATAATAAAAATCTCAAAAGCTTAGGCAACAAAAACAAAAATATAAAAATGGGACTCTAGGAAACTAAAATGCTTATGTACAACAAAGGAAACAATCAACTGAATGAAGAAACAGCCCACAGAATGGTAGAAAATATGCACATACTATATTTTGGGCTGTCAGGAGTTATGATGCATTTTTACATAGAATAAGTTGTGACTTTCTCAGCCACCTCATGTATGGCCTGAAGTAAGGAACAGTGACTGCTAGATAGAGAATATTAGGAAGAAGTATGAAGAGGCATTGGTTAACAGATAAAAAAAATTACAGTTAGACAAAAGGAACAACTTGTGGTAGAACATTAGGGTAACTACAATTAACAATTTATTATATATAGCAGAATAACTAAAAGACAAATTTTTTTTCTTTAAACTTTTGCTAGAGGACACATGTGCTCTTTAGAGAGAGAGAGAGAAAGGGAAAAAGAATCCCTCCCATGGGGAAAGGTCTTGGTGCAATCCCTTCTCCATTTTTCCTTCCTGTTGGGATTTTGGGCTTGCATGCACACGTGCCCAGTATGTTTCTCAAGCTGTTGTGTACAGGACTCGAACTGTGCAGTTGGCCATATGTAATCCAGCCACCCTAACCACTGCATCACGGGATGACCCAAAGAGAAGATTTTAATGTTACCAAAACAAAAGACATATTTGAAATGATGCTTATGCTAATTATCCTGATTTGATTAAATATTATTCATGTCCTGAAATATCACACTGTACCTCATAAATATGTACAATTATTGTGTCAGTTAAGAAAAAAAGAGTTTCAAAACCAAAAGCAAAAAAGGAACAAATACCATTAAATGGGAAAAATGTGGTTCAGGGTTATTGCTTCTTTGCAATTTACTATATTCAGTGTATATCATTTGAAACAAACGTTCTTGTACTACCTTTTTTTAGTACTAATGTAACTTTGTTACGCTTTTCATTACGACTGTATCTATGATATGAATTTTAGCCTATGATGTTTGAAATTAAGTTTAAATCTGTAATACTTACGTTTATTAGCATTCATTGAACATCTAACTTTAGTGGTACCCTTGTACATTGAATTCCAGTAGGTAATTTAAATAATAAATAGAAACAATCCAGAGATTATTTCTTCTTTCAGAAATACAGTTACATTATAGATGAGAGAAAAACTTCAGAATTCACATGAAGTGAGATAGAAAGCTTGCCCCCTCACTCCTGTAGGATAATAAACTATATATGTTCTCTTAAGTATATATCTGAAAACCCATCATCATCCATGTGCAAACATTTGTCTGTGAAATGGTGACTTAAGGTAGAAATATGGAGCTCTTACAGAAGTTTACAAGTATTGCTCAATTCCTCATTAATTCCATGATCTAATCAATGTAGCTTTAACACTTTCTAATATTTGTTCTTCTAGTACAAATAAAACAAGAAAAAGAAGACTTTTATTATCCAATTGGTATGGGTCAAAGAGAGGCATTTTTAGATGCCTAGGCAAGTCCTTTCAGAATTATGGAGAATGATAAAGTTGAATGTTATGTATTACCTTACTTTTTTTCTTTCCTCTCTCTCTTTTTTTTTTTTTTTGGAGAGGTTTTTGCTATAGGGCACGTGCGCTCACCAGAGAGACAGAAAGTGAGAAATTACCCCCCAGGGGGGATGGCCACGCCACAGTCCCTTCTCCTCCATTCTCCTCTTGGGATCTTAGGCACTCACGCACACGCGCCCGGCGTGAGTTTAAGCCACCAGGTCCGGGATTTGAACCGCAGTTGACTACATGGGAGTCCAGTGACATAGCCATTACTCTAACTACTGGTCCCTGTATTACCTTATTGATAATAATCTTCTGTTTACTGAGTGCCAACAGTGTGCCAGTTTTAATATCAACTTTTTTTTTTGGAGAGGTTTTTACTACAGGTGCATGCACTCGCCAGAAAGACAGACAGGGAGAGGTCAAAAGCAAGAAATCACCCCCCAGGGGGGATGGCCACACCGCAATCCCTTCTCCTCCATTCTCCTCTTGGGATCTTGGGCACGCACACATGCAGACCTGGCATGAGTTTTAAGCCGCCGGCTCTGGGAACTGAACCACAGTTGACTACATGGGAGTTCAGCGACATAGCCATTACACTAACTGCTGGCCCTAATACCATATTTTTCTTAGTCTCAAAATTGAGTGTTTTATCTATTTTATGGATGAGGAAATGAGGTCAGGTAAAATTAATTGTTTATTTTCACACAGCTAAAATGTGACAGAGCTGCAATTTGAATCCATTTGTTTCTAACTACGAAGCTCCAGCCTTTTGTAATGTCGCAACACTTGGTAAGTGTGTAGGACACAATAGGTCTTCACTTCTCAAGTGACCACATATTATTGCTTTCTCACTTCATTACTCAGAAAACAGCATGTACATTCCACAAACATAAAAGGTATTTACTTGCTTTCTACTTTGAGAAGATGTAGTTACAACCCAAATTGTCTCTTCAGTTGTACCAGGCAAACTTACTTTACAGGTCATTCATCCACATTTATTCATTTTCTTCAACAGGACCCACAGATTGGAGGAGAAGGAATGCTGGGAGCTGGCCTATCATTTGAACAGTTGAAACAGCTGCAGCGATTTGATCCATCTGTTGTGCCATTACAGAACACTGACATTGGTTCTCTCAGAGATGCCAGAACTGAAGACATGATTTGGCTGGCAAATAAGGATTGTATAGGCTTTTTCATTGCAAAATTTATGAAATGCAAAAGCACACAGGAGAAGGATCATCAGAAATGAAAACTGAATATTTGCTATCTGTATTTTTTTTTAATTGTTTGTAATAAAACCAGTGTGTTGTCAGATCAAGCAAGTGGTAGCCTGGTTACTAAGGAAACAGAAAAGGCTGCCAGCTGTTTCATCAGGGATCAAGTGGCATAGAGGAGGAAGTAAAGGTGATATGAGATAGTTGTTTTGTTTTTTTTAATTTTCCTTATGGATAGAGTATAAAAAAAAGATTCTGTACATATCTAGAACATGTTTTCATTTGGGAAGTTTTTAATTTGTAAAGAATATAAATAATGTTTACTGTTAAAAATTAGTGAATCTAACAAAAGGAATAAAATTAGCAATATTTAATGTGGTTTACAAAATAATTGTTTTCTGTTTCCAATAAAATTCCACTTCCTTAAGAATTCAGGGTATGAGAAGTAGAACATTTACCATGTACCAATGACTGAGGTAAATATTTTATATGACTTATTCAGTAAATCAACTCTTTTTCACATGAAATCTAGACTTCTTTCTAATTCATAGTCTGCGTTTACTATATTTAAGTTTTTTCATGATATTAGAATAAAGTGGGTATTTTCTTCACTTTGTAGATAATAAATTGAGAATATCCCACAATTTGGGTACCTTTTATCATCTGTAGGAATACATATTATACTAGTTATTAGGAAGTGATTAATGAAAAAGAGAAAACTAGCTTCTACAGCTTGAAATCAGTGTGGTACTTACAACAGGGTCTTGGTGTTCTCCTATAAACAGTTTCACAGAACACCAATATCAGAGAAGGTAACCATTTCTATAATAGAATAAAACAAACAAACAAAAAGGTCACTGCATAATCATATCTGAACTCAGACCAAAACAAGAACTTTAATCAAACTGCAACAGTGACCAAACATTTCCCTCTGATGACCAATGTATGTGACTGCTTTTTAAAGAACATTATAATCTTAGTTTGCTTTAATCTACCCAGTTTTTTTTTTTATTTAAAATGTCCAGTATCTAGCTGTAGGTTAAAGTCTATCTCATGTGGTGTTAATTGAATCAAGCTATTTTGTTAGCTTTGATTCAAATCACCCAAAGTTTCTGGCCTTAAGCATAAGAAGTAGATGATAGGACATAATTACCTAAAAGTTTAATTTTTTTTTCCTCATGGGTTTTGTTTCATTTTTAGGAATTTCTCAGATCTATTTAAGTATCTATAACAATTGTAAGGTCTCTTGGATCAAGTCAGAGCTTTAAAATGGCCTCTTCTGGGACCAGCACATGATGTAATGGCTACGTCGCTAGACTTCCCATGTAGTTGACTGCAGTTCAAGTCCTAGACCTGGCAGTTTAAAATTCATGCCGCACACATGTGGACATGCATGCCCAAAGTCCTAGGAGGATAATGGAGGAAAAGGGACAGCAGCATGGCCATTCCCCTGGAGGGGAGAAATTTCTCTGTCTCTTTGTCTCTCTTTCCAGCAAGCACACATGCCCTATAGCTTTCCTTTTGCCTTATACCCAGGAGATGTTATTTGACTACAGAGAAGTACTGTTTACTATGGCTCACTGTTCCCCAGGCTCAGCATACCTCCACAAACTTTAAATGTATTTTAAGAAATTCCACAAAATCCATTTCTTTTCATGTTCTCTGCAAAGCCTTGTGTCCTAAGCTGGGATGGAAAGGGTAGCAAATCAGCCTAGCAACTTGTACTAGTGTAAAGTTTTGATTAATGCCAACAGATATAAAAATACAAGGAGTGCCAGCAAAACAGAAAAACACTGGCATATTTGACATACACAGACAAATGAAGAATATCATTAAATTCCCCCTTAATGAAGGACAAGTGAATACAATGTTCACAATCTGTTGTGAAACTATAGCTTATCATTAGTTTGTACCTGTAAGTTGTTGCTATAAATATTACCTGTATCTTTTTGTTACATCCAGCTTTATAGAAATAACTGAATAAATGCATGGGGATTGAGTACATTTTCCTTAAATTCTTTAACCATTTCCAGTTTGTTTCTTCCCTTTGATATATTAAACAAATTGAAAAAGAGAATGTATACTTAAAGGTCACAGAAAGAAAAATTGCATCACTGAGCAAAGGGAAAAGGACGAAGAGTTAAATTTGTGTGATGAATCTTTATTTTTTAAGTGAAGGAAGAGGTCTAGCCATGGTAGTACATGGTACTAAGATGGCAGAATATGGAGGTCTCACCTGTAGTCCCAGCTGGGTGTCTGAGACAGGACTGCAAGAGAGCACGACCCTTCTTTAAGAATAAAATTCCAAATCAGTTTCAACAATTTTTGCACATATAGAATTAATGAGGGAGGAAGATTACTCTGCTACTGTTCATATCTTTAAAAATCTTAACCATGAACTACCTAAGTTTTTGTTTGTTTGATGGGAGAAATTGAGTCACTCACCCAAGATTGTGTATCTTCACACCACAGTTCAGCCCCAGCCAGCACGGATCACAGGCACACATGTGCCCAGCATGGACAGTGAGGCCTTGGGATACAAACAAAGCCCTTCCTATCATATTTCCTTTTTTTTTTTTTTTTAATAGAGGTTTTTGCTATAGTAGGATGTCTGTGCTTGCCAGAGAGAGAGAGAGAGAGACAGTGAGAGGAAAAGTGAGAAGTCACTCCCCAGGGAGGGGATGGCCACTACAATCCCTTCTCCTCCATTTTATTCTGGGAATCCTGGGCATGCACACACACACGCCCAGTGTCATTTTCAAGCCACTGGGTCTGGGACTTGAACTGCGTTCAACCATGTGGGAGTCCAGCACCATAAAAATGACACCATCTACTGGTCCCAGTTCTAACATTTCAGAGTGTCACTACACTGTGCTATCAGCCAACTTTGTTTTTTTTTTTTTTATCTTACATAATGGGAAAATTACTAAGGAAACACCAGGTAATTAGCATTGACCTTAATGAAGATGGTCAAGTAGAAAATGCTGAATAGTTAACATATTCTCAACTTTAAGACTCATTCCTAAAATGGCAATTAATGCTACTACTAGTAAACAGTGCAGAAGCCAGCTCTTTATTTGTTTTATATGAATGACTTTAAACCAGGTCTGTAGAACAGTTCAGTGTAGCTGACAGTGAATGTTTGTTCAACAGGAATGCATAGCAGACCATGTTAAAACTGTGGCATTGTCCCAAATTACAATGACTAAGACATCCTACATTTAGCAGCACCTTTTGTAACAGTAACTTAAATGAGCAGTCAAGAAAGAGCATAGGAAAAAACTGAAACAAATATGACAAAAAAAACAACTATTAAGTACATTTCCAGCATTTCTAGGTTGACTACAAAAATCATGATTCTACAACTGAGTAAGTTAAGATTAAGCCTTTGCTTTGTGAAAAGACTATAATTTTACATTCCACAAGTCAGTAAATATCCCATTGTCCCTGGGATTATTTTTTCATTTACAAATTTACTACACACTGTTTACACACATGCCCCACTATACAGTTTTCATGTTTAGATGCTCTCATGTCAAATCCTTCATAATATTTTGAGGAACACTCTGATTTGCACTAACATGTTCCATAGTAAAGAGAGAAACTAGATTCAAAATGAAAAAGATGGAATCCTTAAGCACTATTCTTTGAAAGGTATTAATGACAGCAGCAAGATAAATACCAGTTATACTTCAAGAATTTATATATTCCAAAATAATGAATTGGGATGAAATAACACATAGGAAAGGATCAGAGTGGTGATTAGCAACATCTTCCCATGGTGAAAATTTATCAGAAATCTTTTATAAAAGCAATTCTAATTGGAATAGGGTTTCCCAGTGATATGAACATTTTGTCAAAAAGTAATAAATGTTGTTACTGATTTTATGTCTAATACATAAATTCATATAAACAGAACAGGGCTTATTAACATGGATTCTGATGGAAAATTTTCATATAATAGCTAATAAAACACTATATATGTAACTCATTTTTAAAACTGATTTTTCTTGAGTATAGGGGAAATGACTTCAGTGTTAAACAGTTTTACTAATACAAATCCAATACCATTTGGCATGAACCTGCAATAATCAGAGAAACAAAATATAGGTTATAACTACTGTAATTTTGTTAAATAAATTAATGTACAGATCTGGAACTAGGTAATTACTACAGATGGGCATTCTCCTGGGACAAACTTCAAGTGCAAGGTACATGTCCATCTAATACTGTCTTACCTGTCCAGTCCGAACTGGACAAAATGTGCATAAGTAACATGGGAAAGGTTTTAACCTTAACACAATGACAACTTTATAAGCTTCCAGCAGTGTAATTGAGGCATGGAGATAGTATCTTCTAGGTTCCCCCTCAGAGAAGATGTCTAATGTAGGAACATGCTCTTAACATCTCATTCACTTCAGGTCACCCATTTTGCCCTGATAATTCTGAAGAACAGAAACTTTGGTTATAAGAAGCACTTCTGGGTTCTGACAGACAGTGAAGCTGTTCAAGTTGGTGGTAAGGGAGGAATGATAGGAGCTGGGAGGTAACAGGAACGATAGGCCGGGTTAGAAAAGGAAGTGGGAGAAGTTATAAAATTTATTTCCCCATGAAATAATTCCACAGCTGTGTAAACGTTTCTTACTAACACAAATACTCTAACACACAAAGATTGTACATTTCCAGTGAAACACTCACAGTAAAAGTTGCCTGTATTTTTACTCTCTAGGAGCAAAAACAAGGAGCCAGCAGATGAATGCTTTCCTAGTTACCTTTGGCAGCAAGCGTCCTCACATTCCCTGACTGCTCAGTGGATTATTAAAGCAACATAGAGCACAATTACAGACAAAGCCAGGTGGGCAGAATTCTAGATATCAGTCTCTAGTTTTTTCATGTCTTCAGATTTTCAATTCATCTCAACCAATCATTCGTGCACATTATTACACACACATATACACACACGCGCACACGCACACACGCACACACACACACACATGCATACAGCAGGTTTCGGCTCGGATGATACTCCAGTGCAGTGACTATAACAGACACTAGCTACTAAGAATGTGTTTGTCACAATCAGTGTGAACTGTATGGAGTAGAACAACCTCTGGAGTTTGATTATATTTACCATAATTTATGGTTAAAATTATAAACTTACAAGGATGTTATAACATTCAGAAATTAAACCTTTTCAAGTCAAGTAATCACACATATTTACAGTATGTACAGACTTACTACTAGAATGGGATAGGTGTCTAGACAATGTTATTACAAATTTCCTGAATGTGGGCATTTCTAGTCCCTGTAATTCATAAAGCAAATCTGCTGACTTGGCATTAAGACTCTAAAATAGTGTGATCAAACTGATATATATATATATATATATATATAATATATTATATGTCAGGCAGAAAAGTTACAACTTTAGTTCATAAAGCTCTTGTACTAGAGGGTCTATTTATTGCCTTTAAATATAGATCGATTGAATAATTCCTTGAAGTAGAATAACTGTGTTTTACTAAGTCTCTAGAGATTGAGCTTTAAGAATGATTAAGTGGAAAACACTCATAGAGACAGGAATAAATACATGCTTTTTCTCTGTGGAAGGGCAGATAATACTTATTAGCGCTGAAACATCTCTTGGTCTTCCAGGCTTCTAGTAGGATTTTTCTTGAATCTTTTTTTTTTTTTTTTTTTTTTGGTTTTTTTTTTTGGGGC